CCAGCCACAGGTGCTCCTCAAAGCCAGGTGCAATCCCAGGCCTCAGGGGGCATCCTGAGGAAAGAAGACGGAAAACCAAAGCCAGGTGCCAGGTCCCTGGGGCCCCCAACCCCCCCACTCCTGGCAGCAATGTGGCCTTAGTGGTTATCCACTGCGACCCCCTCAACCCACCTGGACCTCCTTCCCGACCCTCTGGAGAGGGTCCAGGAAAAAACCAGTCTTGAGCGGGCTAAAGGGATTCTTCTGCTGAGTCCCCAGCCCACCCTGAGTAACGCAACCAGACAAGTCAGTTTACACTCATGTGCACATGAGCAGGTGTGTGCATGTGCACACACACACACTCACAGGCACACATACACACACACACATACACACACCTGGGCTGAGCTCTCTTCCAGAGGAGGGTCCTGGATCAGGTCACAGTATGAGGTCCCCCCTCTTCTGAATATCACCCCAGTAGTGGTAACAGAAAGTACCCAAATCTCTCCCAGCCTCTGCCCCAAAGACTCTGCAGCCTGCCTGGCTACCTCTCCCGGACTCAGATGCACCTTTTCCTCAGTCACATAGGCCCGAGAGAGGGGAGAGGCAGACTCAGTCCCTGAGAGCAAAGAAGTTGGACATCGCCTGCTCAGGAAGTTCATTGTAAGACTTGGGTATTCATAAAAGGCCCAGGGCCAAGCTAGTGGCACAGACAGACATTTAGGGTAACAGTGGAATACACAGGGCAGAAGAGAAGCGCCAGTAGGAGGGGAATGAATGGGGAAGGTGACAGATGGAGAGCGAAGCACTCAGACAGGCCTGGAGGGGCAGGTTCCTGGGAACAGTGAGCAGAGGGCCAGAAAGTCTCCTGGGTCCACTGGGGAAAGGAGCTCCTCAGGAGTTCTGGTGGCAAAAGAGCCACTTAGCTGGGTGTACAGGAGGCCGTGGTTCGGAAGGGAGACTGGTCTTCTGAGGAATCACAGGGAAACAGGAGGAAGGGTCATGGCCAGGAACACTAGGAACAAGGAATGTGAAACCCCCAGACCTTCCACATGGGAAGAGCACTCAGTTCTGGGGCAAGGCCAGGCTTGCACAGACTGAAGCAGACGACTTGCTCTGCTGACGACTTTGGGAGTGACAGTCCCCCCGAGACGCCTAAGGTTTGGTTGTCTGTTTCCACCTATCAGCAGAACTCCCCTAGCTTTGCTTCAGACCCTGGAGTGGGAATATCATATTTAGCTGTGAATCACAAGTATATAAACTTCAGACACTAATTCCTAGGGAAGAGAGTGCCAAGGACCAGCGTTATCCTGAAGTCGGGAGATGACAAAATAGATGCTGAGCACAACTCGAGGTGAGGACTTTGCAGAATCCAATCTGATCCAACAGGGTTCACTTACTTTCTTAAGTGGCTACTCTGTCTCTGTTCAATTTTTATCCACAGATACTAAGAAAAGGAAATCGCACATCACTACACATGGAATCCTGAAGCAAGTTGTACCATATTCCCTCGGTGAGAACTTAGGCTGAACCAGCCGGACGGGGCTTCTGTGGAAGATGAGGGAGGGGAAGTGCCCGGGCCGGTCTCCCACCTCCCTCATCTCCCCACCCCTCCCTCACGCAGGCCTGGATGGCAGGTGGAAGCCACCAGCAAGTGTCTCTATCAAAGCAGCTGCAGAACATGGCCCATGGCCTCAGAGACAGTTCCTGCTTCCCTCACACACATGCTCACTGCCTACCAGCACACAGGAAGAGGCAGCAGGGAAGTCAAAAGGGTTTTCACGGTCATTAAAAAAACAAACATGGAACTGGTAGCACCCCAATTTCCCGTGACCCCACCCCCACCTGCCTACACAGTATACGCTGCATATATCAAACAAAGCCTTCTCCAGCCAGGTCTGCCACCCGAAGCTACGGCCTCTCCCCAGTTATAGGAAGACCCAGCCCCTGGAAGCACTGGGTCGACAGCAGGCACGCAATGCCTCTCATAATACCCATTCACTTCCTGGTACCTCCAAAGCCCATGCCTCCAGTGACTGGTCTCAATTCCTTGCTGGAATAGTTTGTGGATTCTTGGAGCCTGCGGCTATGATGTTTTAGAGGTGCACACAGAATGACCCCTCCTTACACACACACACACACACACACACACACACACACACACACACCTGCTCTGGGATCCCAGTGCTCCGGGGCCTTGGAGGTATCAACTGTGGCCCAGGGTGTGAGTGTGCTCTGCAAACCGGAGACCTGGGGTAGCTCACGCCCTCAGCACCAGCCACAACCTGAAAGCCCACACTGAGTCCACTCACCACCCGCTCCTGGTGCATCTGAGAGAGCACTGGTTGAAGTGCTAGTTTTAAATTACTAAAATAATTTGCATAGCTAAATTGTAGGTCTAAGGCTTCTATGAGTAGGAGAGTTAAGAGTCTGACAGGGTGCTTATGAAAAGAGAAAAAAAGCGCCTTAAGTCCCACTGTTGGTGTAACCAGACAGCGCGCGCGTGCGCACACACACACACACACACACACACACACACGCACTTGTACATGCACACCCCCATCAGCCATCTCCTTGTCTCTTCTCTGGGGACAACACCCCCGAGTGTGTAAGGCCCCCCCCAACAACGAAAACCAGCTGGTGGAAGAGTTGCAGAAGCAGCTACTACTGGGGTGACCTGACTAAACTGCCTCCAGGACAGGGGAGGCAGGGGCAGCAGCTGCCCAGTGAGGACCCCCGGGGAGGGGGTGGAGCTCTGCAGACAGACACGGTGTGTTCATCATAAAGACCTGCCTGGAGCGGCCTCAGCAGGCAGGGAAAGCCAAGCGGAAGACAGCCAGTGTTTATGCCTAAAGACTAGATGCCCCGCCCCTGGCACTGGCAACAAGAAAGGGTCGACCCAGAATGGCTGGTATGTTCTTTTAGGACAAAGCCAGGCTTCAGGCTCCTACAGAGGAAGGGCTCCTCCATGTTCCTTCAGAGGATGGAGGTAGCAGACAGCAGGCCCACACTGACCATCTGATAGGCTGGGGAAGTCAACACATTTCCCAATAGGAAATCAAATCTGTTCCCTCAACGCAGCCATCAATACACAGCGTAGCGAGCCTGCCTCTAAGTCTAAGGTCACCATAGGAGGATGCAACTCCAAATTTGGGGTCATTTACTTTCCAATAGCAAATTCCATGACCCCAAGTTTCCAGCTCCGTGGAACGAGTCTCATCCCACCAATTCTCCAGACACAGGAGTCCCTGGTCTTCCTGCAAAACGTGGCTATTTGGTGCACACCTTGGTCAAGCCTGGCTTTCTTTCCGTGGCCAGTTCGCCACCCTCGGGGATGTGCTCACCGGCAGCCATGGGGTCTGGGATATTTTAAAACTGCCTTTCCCATCTCCTACCCTCTTCCCTACCCCAGCCTCCCCCTCCCCCTCCCAATAACAACAAAAAGACACATGAAAAGTCTAAATAATAAATAATTGCCCATAAGAAATAAATTAACTGAGCTCTCTACCAGGGAAGGCAGGGGCAGGAAAGGCCACTGGGACAGGCAGTGGGGCTCAGGTCCATCCCTGTGAAGCTTGTCCTTCCAGCCTCCCCACAGCACAGGGTTCCCCTCCCGCCTCGCAGTTTCTCTCCCTGGAAAGGGCTGCTCCGAGGCAGCCACTAGGGAGAGGCAGAGAGGGGCAATGCCCATTTCTCCCATTATCTCCCCCAAATTCCACAACCAATGTGGCTCTGAAAACCAGGGACTCAGGTTACCTGGGCTCCTCTTCACCCACGAGAAGGAAACTTGTGGTTTCCACGGCTCTCCTGGGCTCACCCTGACGTTCGTTCTAACTGCCATGAACCACCACACTCTGATTTCCATTTTTAAAAAGATAAATTCATTTTCCCCCCTCATTCGTCCCTCCCTTCCTCCCCCCCACCTTCATCCCTGCTGTTACATACACATACGTACATACATAAACACACACACGCACAGCACACATACCTGGTCTGCTTCCTTCCCACCCCCTAAAAAGACTCCACTTCACGTGGAATCGCAGTCTGCTCTCCCTGCCCACACTCCTTCTTTACCCGCCCCTTCCTCACTCCCCTCCCCTCTCCAGGCCAAGCTAAGTCACCCAGTAAGGCAGGTCTCTTGGGAGAGAATGTTCCCAAAGACAGAGATGGGATGTGAGTGCCTACACTCAGAGGGGCAAGCAGGCAAGCTGACAGTTAAGCAAGGCAGCAGGAAGAGAGGCGGGCTGCCCGGCCCTCCAGTCCTGTTTGGGTCCCTGATTTCCCGCGATTGCTGCTCTGCTGGAATTTTTTGCCTTTGTTGGGCTGCAGCAGAGCCCTGCCACTATGGTCACCCCCCTTCCTTGTCCTCTTCCTGCCCCTCCTGCCAAGTGCCCTACTCTCAGAAGCCCAGACAGCTGCCTGCCAGCTGGGTGGGCAACCTGCTGGGGCCCTGAGTGAGGTGGAGAGGGGCTCCCAGCTATTTCCCAGTGACCTCTATCACATCATCGTCCTTGTCCTCGTCGTCATTGGAGCTGAACCCCACCTCAGCCACCTCGTGAGAGTCAAATGGAGGCACCTGGGACTGGAGGAGGCCGCCAGCTGGGTAGCCCGTGTGGGAGGACATGTAGCCTGGGTAGACCGACATGCCCCGGGAAAGGTTGGTGGGCAAGACAGGGGTGGGGAAAGGGGCAAACATCCTCGGCTCGGACAGGAGTGGCTGTGAGAATGGGAGTGAGTAGCTGGGCAGCATCCCTGGAACAGAGGGGTTCAGCATGAAGGAAGGGGTGCTGGCAGTGACTGAGGTAGCCGTGGAAGAGGAACTGACGGGGCCTGCTGGCACCAGAGGGTCAGTAGTCACTGGAAACACCAGGCGGGCATCTGCCAGCAAATTGGACAGCTGGTAGTAGGAGGGGGGACTGCCCATAAACAGGGAGTTCTCCCCAGCCTGGGAGGTGAAGGGGGTGGTGAGGTTATGGTTTAAAGAGACGGGTGGCATGGCAAACCCGCCTGCAACTGGATACCCGTGTTCATACGGCTGCACGGGGGCTGGTAGATGGCCCTTCCTGGACCGCCGGCGGGCTGACTCCTGGGCAGCAGATGGTGTGACCAACTTCCGCTTGTGGCCCCTTAAATCCAAGACTGGGTGCCTGTCACCACAGGGCTGGCCGGTCACCAAGAGGGAACTGTTGAGGCAGTGGCTCCCAAGTCGAGGCTCCGTCCCAAGAGCAGTCCCAGGCACAGCACTGCCGTCCACCAGTTGGGCAGGGGGGCCAGGCAGGCCGGTGGCGGAGCTGGGGGAGCTCTGGCGGGACTCGCGGGCAGCGGCCACGTCCGCGTACTGCTGCAGCTCGCTGAGGATCTCCGGGCTGTCGGGAGAGACAGGCCTGGCCAGCCCCTCAGGGTCGGGGGCTTTGGGTGATGAGGCACTGGGTCTGCCGTTGCTCGTAGACTCGAGAGAAGGCCCCTGGGAACCTGGGGACAAAACGTATGTGACTGAGAACCAGAATGGCCAGGGAGAAAAGGAAGATATAGGGGAAAGTTCCATGAAAGAACAAATAAATCCCATCCTGGGTCCCCAAAATTCAAATAGTTTGATGTATAAAGTCACCCAGTTAACTTTCCCCGAGGAAACAGGTCTCTCCTTTCCCTGATTGTAAAACTCCACAAGGTGAAGCCCACGAGGTCATGGACATGAAATGCTAAGTCATCAGTCTTACCCCCAGTCAGGTTTGCAGTGACCAGGATTGAAGAAAAGAGGAAAGTGCTTCTAACAAGTCATCCATCCTGGCTTAAAACCAAACAAAAGCCTTGGCTGTGGAAGATGATGGGAGGCCTGCTGGGGACGCCTGGAAAACAGGCTCTGGCCTGGACCTCGGCCACATGTGGAGCTGTTAACTCGGTGTGATAATGCTGCTGGCTCAGAGGGGAATGCCCTTGGCCTTAGGCTGTGTGTGTGAAAAGGTTTAGGGGTAAAAGTGACATGATGTCCTCGATTTGCAAATAGTTCAGATAACAGGAAGGGAGAGACAAAAGCGAGTGCACAGCGAAAGGAACAGTCATTGGTGTTGGCTGCTCACGGTGCCGCTCTATCAACTGGGCTGGCTGTGTGCACAAAAAAGCAGTCTAGCTCTCGTGCCTCCCGGAGGAAGGATGGAGGAGAAGCTCTCCCACAGGGGATCCTGGCCAGAGCACCTCACTGTGAATGAGCCCGCACACTCTTCAACCTGGCGATCCGCCCACGTCTGGGGATTATGCTGCAGATACACCACGTGCCTGGGAGACAGTTCTGCATGTGGAGTACAGCAATCTGAGCACCCCAGGACAGGGGACTTGGGACGTAAGGTGCTGTCCCACCCTGTCCCACCCAGCGGCATCCTGTGCACGCCCTCCAGGAGGCACAGCTACAGCAGATAAGGCACCAGCCCTGGGCTACCTATTGAGTGAAGGACTAACCAGTGTATTATAGTAAGTGAGCATTCATTTGAAAAATACAAAGGAAAGTTATACACACGTTTTTTATCCAAACAGGCACACATGCTTTTTATCCATAAAGACACACACATCCCTGTACTGCATTCAGAATATCTCTGAAAATGACAGGCGAGAAATGACTGGCTAGAGGTATGGCGGGAGAAAAACTTACTTTTCACTTTACCCCTTTTTGTACCTTTTGAATTGTGAACCACGTACACATTATTTACTAAAAAATTAATTACAAGTGAAACTAAACCAAAACACAACACATGTCCAGCGGTGAACGGGAGACAGAGCCACATGCGATACCTGAGGCAGCCATCCGGCCATCTTCAGGGGCTTTGGGTTTGCCCGTCGCTCGGACAGCAAAGATCCGCCCGTCGCTGGTGCGGATGTACGTCCCTAAGAAGCACGAGGAAGACTGTGAGCAGCAGACAATGCCCTCCTGCCAGCCGTGGGCTGGGAAACAGCTGTAAAAGTAGGTCTCCCACCCTCTCTCAGACGTCTGCAATGATCGGTGAGGACGGAGCTGCGGCCCAATATTAGCCCTTTTCTCCACAAACACTGACTGCATCAGCACCGCCACAGGCCCTGCTCTAGAGCCTGGCCCGCTGGGGGAGATGGACAGGCACAGGAGCACCCATCAGGAAAGGCTCATGCAGTGGAGGAAAGAAACGGGGGGGGAGGAGGAGCACAGGCCCTCTGGCCCACGCCTTCCTGCCTCAATACCCTCTCTGTTGGTGGAAACAATTCTAGAGCTGCGTTCCATTCCCAAACACTAATCTACCATCCCGTGTTTTTTTATCAATCTCCTGGAAAATCCGGGCTGCCTCCAGGCCAGAGATTGGCAAACTTTTCCTTAAAAGGCCAATTAGTAAGTAATTCTGGCTTTGTGAGCCATTAGCTCTCTCTTGCAACTATTCAACTCTGTAGTATAACAGCTAGTGCCGCTATGGTCTAAAATATTTATTTATGGACATTGAAAGGCTGGATTTGGCTGGTGCACAGCAGAGCTTGCCCTTTACCCACCCCTGCTCTAGGCCCACAGGAGCCCAGTAAGGGGCAGGTACAACCTCCTGTGTCTTGTATTTCACAGCAGCATCTTTTCCTTGAGCCTAAAGGTACTGTGACCCAACAGAGGCCGGGCGAAACCTCCTTACTGACGCCGAGCCTCAGGAGCTCCCAGAGTGAAGGCTGGCGGGAATGATAGGCGTCGACACTGTCCCGACAGATTTCATCCCAGCAGTCTCACCCTCCTTGTAAGGAGGCAGAGGCAGTGGATTTTCCCAATGACCACACTTTGACCTACTTTCCCCTCCTGTTCTAAATCCCACTCTTCTGTTTTAAATTCGCCAACGAAGAGTGAACCCACAAAGCCTAGCACCCACTCTTGGACCCTAATAAAGGCAGAGACCCAGGTCCATGTTCTTTCTCTTTCTCCCCCGTGACCGCCATGTGAGACCCTCGGGCATAATGTACCCTCCAGAACTTGTGAATAATGCTCTTGTATCTACAACGTTCCCGGATGGCTGCTGTGTGTTACAGTCATAATAGCACAAGGGCTGGTTCAGCCACAGCACTGGCTCTGGGGAAATGTCTACGGGCTTCCCACAGGTAGTGTGGGACCAGGTGAGTCAGGCATTCCTAGCCAATAGCGCCGCAATTGATAGGCTGAGACACAAAACACAGTGTCTATCCAAACCCACCCCAAATTCTCCATAAAAACAATGTCAAAATACAGGGATGCGGGGACCTTAACTCCCTTCTCTTAAGCCACTGCCAGATATCCTTGGGGCCCCGCCCACACTACTGAGCTCCTGGAAATGTCATTTCCTCATGCTTCCCCGGATGTACGGATTCTGCTTCCCAGCCAGGACAGGGGACGGGCGGGCGGGCAGTCTCACCTTTCGTCCCGCGGATGATGTGGATGCTCTCCCCAGCATTAATTCTCGCCTGTACATCTGTGGAGCTGTTGAGTCCAGGAATAACAATATCTAGTGAAGACACAGACCTCAGATTTAGATTACACAGGGCCTGACTAAAGCAGGGAAGGAAACCACAGTCCACATCCACCCCGTTTCTCAGCAGATTCTCTAACGCCTCTCGGTGGGCAAAGGTCAGAGCCAAGGACAGCAAGGCCCGCAGCCCTCTCGCAGCTGCCTAATAGAGAATACTCTGAGAACCAGAAACTTCTGAGAAATCTGATCATCTTTCGGGTCAATTTCCCTGATTTAACTAAAATTTCGTAGAGTTTCTGGTTTAGAAATTTGGTTCAAATGGTTATTTCTCTGTATTTTTTCTCCTCTCGGAGTTATTGGCAAGCGCCTGCTCCACATCACTTTAGGATGTTTGAGGTGTTAATAAATACTAAAATTCCTGCGTGAACAAAGTGATTTGAAAGGGACAGCACCCAACCTGTGGTGGTGACCACCTTCTGCACAAGGACGCCCGCGCGCTGCAGGTAGTTGATGGGGAAGTTCATGGCTGGGTTTGTGCTGGAGGCACAGCTTACGCCGCCTCCCAGGGGGACATGCCGGGGCATCATGGGGATGGGGGTGGACTGCACAGGACGGACGCTGGCCACAGGCTTCTCATCACTCTTCAGCGTTGGCTGCCTGTGAGAGAAGGACAGCGCACTCAGAGAGGTCGGCAGAACAGCCACCCTTCCCTCCTGCGGAGCCCTCAGACCCCCACCCACAGCCTCAGCTGCTGCTGAGGAGGGTCAGAGGACTGACAGAGCACGGTCAGCTCAAAAGACAAGACGCAGGGCTGAGGCAGTGGAGGCAGAAAGGCAGCGAGGGATGACGCTTCTCAGAGCCTAAGGAGTCAGATGTCAGTGGGATGACGCCTTTACGGGGATTCGGACGGTCTATCTACACGCACCAGGCACTCGCCCTTGGAGAAGAGTCAGGGAGAGGCAAGGATGCAACAGGGAGGAAAAGTTCTTCAGCCCCCAGTACATGCGAGCTGCAGACAAACGGGGGGAACTTGCCCACTCACCAAGGAGAAAGGCCACGTGACGCCACATGTGCAGGTCAATTTGAGAGGCCACCTGTCCAACCTTAACGGTCTTTACTCTCTGAAACTTCAAGTATCAGTAAGCAATGCAGACACCCCTCTCCTCTGCATTACTTTTCATTGGGCTCCTCCTGGGGCCACTCCCCAGGATACCCCTCTAGTCACGACCACCACAAAAGCAGCAGCAGCCAAAACCCTGTGCCCCGCAGCCAGGCCTCTAACTGGCACGTGCCCGTGGCCAGCCTCTCTTTCCATTCAGCAATAGGCTTCTGCCCCGCTCATATTCTAAACAATTCTAGAAGTTTGCTCAAGGAAAAGGTTTCTCACTCAGGACTGGGGCACAGCCACAGAATGCAATCCCATGAGCAGCAGCAGAACGCACTGACTGCACTCCAAGGCCCATAAAGACCTGGCCTTCACCCTTGCACTTCAGCGCTTAGCAAGGTCTAGGACAGTGATGGTGAACCTATGACACGCATGTCAGAGGTGACACGCGAACTCATTTTTTTGGTTGATTTTTCTTTGTTAAATGGCATTTAAATATATAAAATAAATATCAAAAATATAAGTCTTTGTTTTACTACGGTTGCAAATATCAAAAAATTTCTATATGTGACATGGCACCAGAGTTAAGTTAGGGTTTTTCAAAATGCTGGCACGCCGAGCTCAGAAGGTTCGCCATCCCTGGTCTAGGACCAAAGTGCTACGGATAGGACGGGCTGTGCAGGAGGGCTGGGTCTCTGTGTTTTGGGAACCTGCACCTCCCAGAATACAAATGGACACTCCTGAGTCCCAAGACCAGCAGCTCACTCTTCCTGCCAGAGCCACTTAAACCCCGGGCTGCGGACTGCCTGACACCTCACCCCCGAGCAGAGCCCGTCAGTTCTCAGCAGCCAAAGAGCAGTTTACACAATGCCGCAGCGGGAAGGTGTGGGCCTGGCCCCACAGCAGACCTTCCTGCCCTTTCCGCGACTCACCAGTTTCTCTGACTGAAGGCGGGGATGCTGGTCAGGCTCTGGTCGCTGGCGGGGTAATACTGTGCGTACGACGGGCGGGTGTAGGGGACTGATGTGCGTTTGTCTTCCTCATAGCTTTTCTTTGCTGCTTTTTTCTCCGCCTTGGTCAGCTTGTGATCCCTTCGGTTAAGGAGCAATGACTCATGCTCAAAAGGCTCCTGGGGACACAGGAGGGTGTTGATTTAATAATCAGTCTTTGTGCAAAATGATGGGTACACACTGAGCCTTGCTTTGACACCAAGGAAGGGCTAGCTGTCTCCAGCACTAGCGAAGAGCCTGCTCTCAGACACATGCAGGTTCACTGTCCTTCTGTCAAGAGTATGACCCACAAGTCTAACAGCACAGCTTCAGACCACCCACATCTGCCTTCCACATCAAAAGGAGGGCAGAGGTCAGAGAATTAACAGGCTGCATTTTTAAAACATGCCATCTTTCTTTCTGCTAGGAAAACACACTGGCCAAATTATTCCACATGGTTGAGCCCAGCACTTGTAGGACCAGACCAGGGGCGGGAACTGCATGGGACAAGGAAAAGAACCCATGGCATTCAAGTTGCCTGCGTGAAACAAAAGTTTGCACAAAGACAAGCTCGCCAGACGAGCCTCCCCTGCTGGACGCTGTCCCACCAGGGGCTGCGTGCACACCGGGCTCTCACCTTGGTGATGAGGTGAGGGTACTTCCGACAGGCAAGCTGCAGGACTGGCTCCTTGATGCCATTTATGTCCAAAGATGCTTGGGGAGCTGGCTCCTTCTCAACGAAGTGCAGTAGGTTCTCCACCTCCTTCCGGGTAAAGTTCAACATTGGATTGAGATCATCCACCACGCGATCTGGAAGGGAGAAGACAAGGAGACGGTCAGTATGTGGCAAAGAAGACTGCAAAGGCACAGCTACAGAGATCAGCAGAGAGGAGAGAGGCTGTGGGTGGCACAACTGGCACTATACCTGAGCCACCGAAGGCGGCCCCCCCATATCTGAAAGTTAAAGACCAGGTGGGAGGCCCTGGTAAAATGGAAGTATTATAACAGAAACCTGCTAGTTTAGCTCTTATCACTAAATCCACCTTCAACAAGTTGAGGTCAGTCCCCTCTTAGGCAATTATTTGAGTCAGAATGAGATGGGAGGACCTGCTGGCTTGCTATACTGGGAAGCCTGCCCGTGTTCCCACAATCTCCCTGTCCCCAAACGCCTGGAGACAGTAGGATGGCTGCCTATATCAATGTGTCTCTTCTGAACCTGGAAGGCGGCCCACCTGACATGCCCTGCTTGGAAATCTGACGGTCATAGATCTTCTTTTCGAGGGTGAAATCAGCCACAAGGCGGTAGATGTGGCAGGGCTTTTTCTGGCCGTAGCGGTACACCCGACACACTGCCTGAGCATCATGGCAAGGGTTCCAGGAAGCGTCAAACACCACCACTCGGTTGGCACCGATCAGATTCACGCCCAAGCACCCAGCCCTTTAAAACACAAACCAACAATCACAGAGCCTTTCGTTTTAAAGGTAGTTTTCAAATCAGTTTTACCCACCGTGACTCCTACCCCAACACCCTCCTCTTTGTCCTAAGCCCAACATACTGAAGATCCTGCTGTCCTAATGGACAGTGTATGTCCTCACCCACTCTAAAGTATGCCCGGAACGTGCGACACGCAAGTGCCACCAGCACAGAAAGCAGTCCGCTCTCCTCCCTGCTGAGTGTGATGTCACTTGGCGAGGGAAACGGCTAACAGCTCAGGAGAACGGCTGGTTCATACCCTATCAAGGGCATTCTGCTTGGCATGAGACAAACAGGCCAGCAGCCTTTCACAGTTCTATTGCACTTCCTACTTGTGAAAACACTCTCACATTCTCCACATCGTCTCAGCCTCAGAACATTCCAAGGGAAAAGCTAATTAAACCGTTGTTAATGAAGGTGTCAAAGAACTTAATGACAATGTCACGATCGCCCTTTAACACAACTTCCTTTTGGTGTCCCCTCTCTCACTCCAAAAACAAGTCACAGCCCAGAGCAGATCTCTTCGGATGGAAATTGGATGAGCCTTTGGGGTGCCTGCCCATGTGGCCAATTGCCCAGAACACACCCTCTGGCCTATCCTCCCAGGACCCACTCACCTTGTGGAGAGAAGGAACAGCCAGGTGGTGAGGTTGCTGGGATCATTGAACTGATTAATGAGCCGCTCCCTCTCAAAGGCAGGGGTGCTACCGTCGAGCCCTAGGACAGAAGGAGAACCTCAGAAATGGCCAGATGAGGGCAGGGGACACAGCAAAATCCTGGGCAAATGTGTTTTAAAAACCAAGCGCACACACACTAGAGCTCGGGTCTACCTTGAGACCCAAGTTCCTATAACTTAAAAATACCCCCAGGTGGTTGCATGCACAACAAGGATTAGAAACTGCTTCTCCCTTTAGTATCTTGTGTCGATTCTAAGGCCAAGGTTCCTAGACTTAGAGTGCCTAAGAATCACCCTAAGTATAGAGGCTTGGTAGACACTGGCCCAGGTGGCCCTCTGCCTCAGTCCTGCAAATCCTGACAGAGCACAGATGAACCAAGGGTTTGTTTTGATAGGGATGATGTTCCTCCACTAGGAACCTGCACTGTTAACAAGCTCCCAAGGCTGAGAACTTGCTACAGGGAGACACAGAGGAACAGATACGGCACGGTGGGTGGGTGGGACATTGGAGTGAAAGAGGGAAGCTCGGAAGGAGTCCCCTTCAGTTAGGAAGCATGAGTAAGGGCAGGGAGACACCATGGGTAAAGCAGAGAAAAGGACAAAGCTAGTTCTCATAAGTTCAAGCACAGCTCAGCACTGACTAATTGGGCAAATCCAGAGACAATACAAAGCTCCAGGCCAGACCCTGTGCTGGGTCTCTTCGCACCCCTGAACCTCTGATGCTTCTCAACAAGCACCCTCCACCCCACAGGAGACACCTGGCAATGCCTGGAGACACTGTCGGTGGTTATAACTGAGTTGATGCTACTGCCATCTAGTGAATAGAGACCAGGGATGCTGCTAAACATCCTACAATGCACATGACTGCCCCCGGCAACACAGAATTATCTGGCCCTAAATGTCAGTATCTGGTCGGTAAGGGCCTGAGGTCAATACTTCTCAGCCTTTTTTTTAATTTTTATTTTCATTACCACCTTCTTAAGGAACCTTTTTATACATTTTTTTCCAGTCACCATGCCCCCCTTGTAACTTTAACACCATAGATCTATTGTATGTTTACTTACTATATGCGTATTTGTGCTTTATTCTTCAAAAAGTTAAGTTTTTTTGCCCCAAGAACCAGTTTTCACTGTTCTAGGGATGCTATCTCCCCCACAGAGAATGCATGATCTAGACTTGTGTTCACTCCACTCCTTCCCCCTAGAATGACCTCTGGGCCACACAAGCCCTGTTATCTGTCAAACCCTCTCCATGTTTGCAAGTCTAGTGCAAGCTTTGCCTCCTCCAGGAAGCCTTCTTTGACCATCCTCACCAGGACAATTCTGCCTTCCTTAGAACCCAAGGATCTGTCCTCAAGTTGTCATGTCTCTGATGAAGATGAGGCCTATGCCTGCTACTTCTCTGTAACCCCCCGCCCCCATCTCGCCTGAGCTCCTCAGCCCCTAGGACAGCATCTCACACCTAGCAGCTCCCTCTCAGTCTCTCTCTGCACCTGGGCTAATCTGCTGCGCCTGGTCTCTAGGACTGTGGCTACAAACGAAATATTTCCTGGAGAGAATGGAGTAGAAGAGAAACTGAGAGAGAAGGTAAATAGACTTCGCCAAGGCTCCAGGAACAAGGCAGCAATGAACTCACGGAAGTAGCTGACGTTTCGAACCCACTTCTGTACTCCTTGCCCCTCGGCACCAGGTAGGCAGGGCACGTCTCGTTTCCCTAGGAACTCCTCGATGAGAGCCAAGGTGGAAAGGCTCTGGCTGAAAGGAACAACACTTGGTTCAGAGGCTCCCAGACCCACAGGCACCTTGCTCCCCAACAGGCCCACAACTGTGTGCAGTCCTCTGGCGGTGGGAGCTCCCACAACCTACTCCCTGTAGGAGGTAACCCCACAAAGAAGCACCACAGTATTCTTTCTAGCTCATAGTGGGAGCAGAGTCATCCATACAATTACTGCCGGCACCGGCTAAAAACTCTCTACCCTATGACTTGCTCAGCTGGGAAATTCTGGGGTTTCACTCAGTGCCTAGTATCCAATAACATCAGCATTAAAAACCCACACTGCGGCCAGCCGGTGTGGCTTAGTGGTTGAGCGATGACCCAGGAGCCAAGAGGTCATTGGTTTGATTCCTGGTCAGGGCACATGCAGCCAATCGATGAAATTTCTCTCTCATCGATGTTTCTATCTCTCTATCCTCCCTTCCTCTCTCTCTAAAATAAATAAAAACCTATTTTAAAAATGAAACAAAAACCCACACTACATGAGTAGACATCAGAGCCAACTGTAGGCACAGGCAATATCAAGGGGAGACGAGCACTCAGCTGCTTCTGCGTGAGCAGAGCCAGTCTCCTCAGGATGATCCATAAAAGCAGCTGCTTCCCACCCCCCGTTAGAACCACTGCTGTCCTTGCAAATGCGTCCCACGTGGAAACCCTCATTCCGAGGCTGCCAAGCCAGGCCGCTGCCACTGAGCTCTCATTGGAGCACACTGGTCAGACGCAGGAGAAGCAATCTACTCCGTGTCGGTTCCCTGAGGAGTCAGGCCTTGATGGGATGCAAAGCTCTGGCTAGACTGAGAATGTGACTCTGGAACAAACTGCTTTGTTTATTTGGCCTTATATACAAAGCTTACTTATTTTAAAAAGGCCAAGAGAGAGAGAGAGAGAAGCAGACTAGACCACGGATCCGCAAGTGTTTTCTGTAAAAGGCCAGACAGTGAATATTTTTAGGCTTCGCAGACCACATACAGTCTCAGCTGTGTTTCCTTTTTCTTAAAACCCTTTTAAAATGTGAAATCTAGTTCTCAGGCTGTACAATAACAGGCCACAGGCCACATTTGGCCTGGCCACAAGTGGAAGGGTTAGATTATGATCTACAATGTTAGCCCATGGTCTCATATTGTTCTCTGAAGAGAATAGCATTGGCCCAAAAAAACTCCAAGAAAAAGAAAATGCAAGATCCCCCCCAAGAAGCACTGGCTTGCAGAGGCATGTAGAGTGGAAGGGGGGCTGGCGTGACCCCAGGCGTCTCACTCTGTAGGGATGTGTCGCTGTTACCAGAGCCACACAGTGTCATTCGGAAAGTTTTCTTCTACCTGAACACGAGGATCTTGTCACCAAGCTTCACGCTTTCCTCAATCAGGTGGAAAAGCAGTACCATCTTGGGAGAGTTCTCCAGGACTCCAGTCTGGTAATTAGTCAAAAGGTCCTTGGCCTGTGGAGAGAAATGAGGCAGCTTGAGCAGGTCCATAGAAATCTCTCCCTCCAAGACAGCAGCAGCTCACGGGCCACCTTCATAGGTCCCTGCGCAGACCTGGGCAGCATGTGCACTGCGCCCCCTGCCCCCTCCCCGCGTGGGCTTCACACTTCCCTTCTCAGCAGTGCTCTACGGCCACAGAAGCATCTGCCTGGCTCACCCATTCATACGTGACGATGTTGTTGCCTCGCTCCTGGAAAGGGTTGAAGCCGACCCCTTGAAGGAACTTGCTGTTGGCTGCCTCTCCCATCGAGGCGGCCAAGGCACTGTCCTCCCCCTTGACTTTTGTTCCCTGTGACGGGCAGCGGGCACTAGTCCCCGTGGAGCCAAGCTCTTCCACGTCTAGGTCCTGCTCATTGGCCAGGTTCTCCTTCTGAAGGGCTTCATACAGCACGTCAGGGTGATTCCAGATCTGAGGGTCAAGTCAGAGAAAAGGTGGCGCAGGGCTGAGAAGAATATAAAGGTGTCCCAGAGTCTGGAAACATGTCCTTGCTCAAACACACACCTCCCACAGCACACAATCACCAAAACTTAAATACCCCAACGACCTCGGGCCAAAGACCTGGACATTCGTTTCCACTTACCGACTGATCACATAACACACAAAGAGGAGGGGTCACACCAGGGGCAAGCCAGTATGTTTGGTACATAAGCCTTGCATTCTATTCTTGTTCACTAAGAATGCTCCTGTTTCACTGAGTGGCCACAGTCAACCACAGTATGAAGCAAGACAAAGTCACCCTATGGACAAATGTATCTGCCTTCTAGCTGACCAACCATAAGTCATTTGAGGGGCTACTCCTGGCAGGAGTTGAGAATCCCTGGGGAGAAGGGGTGGGTAAGACGGGTGTTGGCACCGCAGCATCCTCTAGACCATGTCTGCCCTGGTCTCTAGGACTGTGGCTACAAAAGAAATATTCTGAAACTCCATCTATCCCCAGCCACACCCCTTCAGCTCACGTATTAAAGCAGCGGCCAATCAGAAACAACGCCCAGCAGGTCAGCTGAAAGCTGTCTAAGAAACAGGTCCCCCGTGAGGTAACAGGGAGCACTTGTCCAGATCAAAGACGAGTGTTCATCACCTTGCCCCGAGGCTGCGTATAAAGATACATGGCCTTGCTGTCCCCAGCCATCTGAAGCGCTGTCGGGATGAAAGACCTCTCAACCCGATGAAGTACAGAAGCCCGTGAGAGGCGCCCCAATGACTAGTCTAAACCATAGAGTTCTTGAGTCCCAATCATGCGAGCAAAGACACTGTCCCACAATGTTCCACCGTCACCTGCTCTCCCAAGTGAAAAAAAATCAGTGAGAAAGGAAGGGGTTCCTCCAGTTTGGTGTAACAGGTTGTGCAGCCGAGTTGCACAGCACAAGGGCACCATTTGCAGTGCAGTGTGAGCACCACTCCCGGGAGCTGTGCGCGTGCAGCCAACACCTCTCTCCCGAGAGCCCCCAGTCCTCCAATGCAGAGGCGGCCCCTCTGCTCTTATTCCTCCTTTATCAGGAACCCCCAGCAGGAGTAACTCCCTGGGGGCCATGTGCATTCTTGGCCTGTGTCTCAGTATCCCTGAGGCCTCCACGCACCTTGCAGCACACACAGAAAGCCTTGAGGGGGTTCAGCCCCAGCCAGCCACTGCTGCCACAGTCCCGGAAGCGGTCCATGAACTGTGTGTACAGATCGCGCTGGATCTTGGAGAGCCGCACGAGGATCACATTCTCTTCCTTGGCAGGGAGATGAATCTTCAGCACAGTGTGGCCTCTCCTAGAACATAGACCAGAACTGACAAGGCGTTGTGGCCAGGGCGTCAGTGTAGGACAGAACCAGACCCTGCTTCCTGCCACACCCACCTCTCGAGGCTCACAGCAGCCTCTCACGAGGACTGCTTCAGCAACCATCAAGACGAAACTCATTAAAAAAACAAAACAAAACAAAACACACAACTCATTTTAAGGATGAAAACAAAAGCAAGAGGCAGTGGCCTGCCCCAGGTCACTGACCAGGAATCCCAGGTTCTTACCCCAATTCGGGGCTGTTCCTCTACGCTTTCTCCACACATGCCATGTTAACCAGGAAAAACAAGGGACTGCTGGGGACCAGCGTTGCTATACGCACCAAGAGGCTGGCCCAGGCAAGACCCACCCTTAGAACCACCCGTCCCCCTTTCACACGAGCCAGCAAGATGCCAGCTCTCTCCCTGCTCCTCAGCAGGTAAGGCAAGCATCCATGGTAACCACAGATCAACTTTTGAAAGAAGCATTTCTAGGCCAAACTTCCAGAGGATTGAAACAGTGGTACCCAGCCTCTGCCAGCTACTCAGGACATGCTGTTCAGTAAAAGGAAGTTGGACCCATGGCCCTCCTGGAGTGCCGCCCACTCCTTCGGAGGACGGCTCACCTCTGCACGAAGCCCTCCAGGAGGCTGTGCAGGACGTGGCTCCGGTACCGCATGAGGCGGACGTCCTGGGGCGTGCTGTCGATACACTGCCCGTTCAGGATGGGGCGCTCGAACATGTTGCTGAACTCCTGCCGGGTGCCCAGGAAGTCTGGGCGCACGAAGTCCACCATGCACCAGTACTCGATGAGGTTGTTCTGCAGGGGGTACCCGGTCAGCACCACCCGGCGGCGGGAGCGAATGCTCTTCAGGGCCTGCGAGGTGCTGGCCTGGCAATTTTTGATGCGGTGGCCCTCGTCGCAGATCACCACATCAGGGCCAGGGCGGCTCAAGGCCTTCTCAAACTCTAGGGAGGGAAGAGGATCCGGAGTCAGAGGGTGGGAGGGCCTGTTCTTAGTCAACAGTATGAGAAGTAGGGGTGCACCCTGGAGGAGACAGAAGAAATGAAGGAAGCAGGAAAGCAAGAGTCAGCCCCCGTCGCTGAAAGGGAGCCAGCCATCCAAGCTCCTATGTGGCGTGTGACATGTGAGCCTGGCCTGTTGACTCTGAGTAAATCTCTCTCCCTCCTTTTTTCCCCTTTATGTTCAGAGTAAAACCGACTTGAATTCCTAGGGCTTAGACCAACTGGGCAGCAGAGCGCATGGCTTTACAGAGCACCCGCCGAGGACTACAAGTGAGTCTGGGTGAAAGTGACAGGAATGGTCCGGACACTTCAGCTGGCTCTCCCCACTGGCAGCATCTTGGTGGCAGAGGGCTGGCTGGGGGGAGCCAGCTAAGGGCAAGTCTTCCTGGACTCACTCCCCAGTCCTTGCTAAAAGGCGAATTCATCCCCGCTGTGTAACAGAAGCAACCCTACAACAACATAACCTCAGGGTGAAGAGACCTACAAGACGAAAGGGCCTCTGAACCCTCAGGAAACTTTCTTCCCCAAAGGGACACGGGCCCCTTGGAAGAGGGAGTAGAACTATGAGAGGAATGGCTTTCCCTAGAAAACCGGGATAAATTTTGTTTTATAAATTCACAAGCAGTAAGACTATTACTCTAACTGTGACTTAGGACTTTATAAACGTGTTCTTAATGCTGTCTCAGAACACCTCTAGGAAGTGGTACAGGCAGCGGTTACTCTCCCAGCTGCTCTGAGAGAGAAACGGGCCGGACAGGCCGTGGGCTCCCCTGAGCCAGTCTGGGGCCTGGTCTAACCACTCATCCATGGCCTCCGAGAGCCAGGATTTCTGGTTCAAGGCAACACAACTCACATCAATAAAGCTTCACGCTTGACGAGGCGCTATTGCAGACACTATTTCTTTTTCCTGAAAAACCCCCTAAGACCACCGCAGGAGAAGCTGCCCACCTCTCCGAAACTCCTGCTGGCGATCCTCCTCATCCAGGTCAATAATGACCGGGTGAGACCGCTTCTTGCTCCTCTTCGGTCTGCCGGTGGCAAAGGACTTCTTCAGGGTGAGGAGTCTGTACATTTCGTACCCCATCAGGAGCACCCCACCCTCCGACACCCAATCAGCCATCACTTTAGCTCGAGCTGCCATTGTCCTATAAGAGTGAACAGAGAAAATATTACTGCTCCCACTGCTCCCCAGGAAGAAGTCCTCACAAGCAAAGCTGTGCTGATGTACACTCAGGATCCTGATTGCCAAAGGCCAGTGGAGCCGCACAGGGCTGGCCGCTGCCCAAGGACTTTCCCAGCATCCTAGAGATTGTAGCGAGGATGAACGGGGTCACTGATGATGGTTAAATAGCAAAAAACAGAAATTCAAGGGCACAAGGCAAGCAAAAGCGACAACCTCCTTGGATGTACATGCATGATCACAATATCGGAGGGAGAGTTATTCGTAGAGTCAATAGAAAGTACTAAACGCAAGGGCTGCCTCCTGCACTTCGACTGCCCAGGTCCTGGTAGCTGAAGAGCCAGGACAAGCAGGAGAGGAAGGGCAGCCGAGACCAAGGACACTCAGCACAGTCCCTCCTTCCTGAGCAGCTGAGCCCTGCTGCACGGGGACTCAGCCCTGAAAGCTGAGCAGGAAGAGCAGGTGAGAACCACCTGTGGGCCACCAGTCTCCTCAGCTGGATGTGCATGACCAAGCCTCGCAGGAGGCAGCCTCGACAGAAGACAAAGCCTGCCTTCTCAATATCCATGCCGAGAGGCAAGGGCAGCATGGAGGCGGGCCCGGACCAAGAAGTACCTTTAGATGTTTGGGAATCAGGTTGATATATAGAGAGGAAATATAAATAATTTTATTCAAATCTGAAACAAAAAAAGGTTTGCACCTTTCAAAGCCTGGAAGTTTTACCATTAAAGGTCAACTGTAGCCCTGATCGGGTGACTCAGTTGGTTGGAGCGTCGTCCCACACACCAAAAGGTTGCAGATTCGATCCCTGGTCAGGGCATGCGCAGGAGGCAAACGATTGATGTTTCTCTCTCACATGATGTTTCTCTCTCTCTCTCTCTCTCTCTCTCTAGGCAAACGATTGATGTTTCTCTCTCACATGATGTTTCTCTCTCTCTCTCTCTCTCTCTCTCAAAAATCAATCAATCAATCAATCAATCAATCCACGGGCGAGGGTTAAAAAAAAAAAAAAGGTCAACTATAGATCAATGGTGCGCCGCTTAAAAGAAGAGACTGCCCTAGCCGGTTTGGCTTGATGGATAGAGCGTCGGCCTGCGGACTGAAGGGTCCCAGGTTCGATTCCGGTCAAGGGCACATGCCTGGGTTGTGAGCTCGATCCCCAGTGGGGGGCATGCAGGAGGCAGCCAATCAGTGATTCTCTCTCATCATTGATGTTTCTAACTCTCCCTCTTCCTTCCTCTCTAAAATCAATAAACATATTTTTATTTTATTTTTTTAAAAAGAGAGACTGATGAGCTGCTAGGAAAAGAGAAAAGTGAAAGGTAAACGGTCAGATGGAAAGCTGTGTTTTATCGTGCTGAATGGTATCCTGGTACACCTGGGAAATGCGACCCTGCCTGCCGAGTGTTCAGGTGTAATAGCAACCCCAAGCAGGACACAAGAAGTTTCCCAGGCCACATAACTCCGACTTTACTGAAAAGCCAGGTAGAGAAAAAATGAGTGGCAAGAAGAAAGAGGGACACACCAAAACCCAAAGGAATCTGGGAGGACAGGGCACAGTCCCCGGGCATCCAGGCCCCGGGAAAAAGTCTAAAAGGAAAGGGGTAGAGGGAGGGCAGGCCACCTACTTGTGCTCATCATTCAGGATGTGAACTTTAAAGAAGCGAGGCTGGACCTCCTCAGGCTTGCTGTCCGCTGGCAGGGCTTCAGGAGCTGGGAGCCACATGTTGAACTCCGCCAGCCAGTTCTGAAGAGTATTAACCTGTCGGAGAGCCAGGCCCAGAAAGAGCGCTTTGAGGAGCCAGCTCCCAGCTGAGCTCCTCCAGCTTTTCAGGGCCAGGAAGGGTTCCCCGAACTCTTCAGAGGGTGCTAGGTGGTGCCTCCTGAACTCTTACCGGCACAATGGCAAGGACAGTTTTGGCTGGCGTGTGGCGGAAGAGGACGTCGACGAAGGAGATCACTTGCAAAGTTTTCCCCAGACCCATGCTGTGGGCCAGGATACAGCCAAAGCCACTACTGGTCTTAAACCTCTCCAGGGACTCAACCAGGTTATCATACAGGAACCGGATCCCGCCAATCTGGCAAGGAACACACACAAATGTCAGGAGGGCTGGCAAAGACCAGGGCTCTGGGTTCCTCACCTTGAATTAGTCAGGAGTGAGTGAGCAGACATGACACCAGGCAGCTGGTATGGACGCCTAAAGAAGTCTCCCTGTACCCTGCCCAGTCTATTGGCTGGCAACAGACTTGTTGGAGAAAACAGAAAAACCTTCACCTGGCACCATGGCCAATCCCAGGCAAGTAGCTGCAGTTCCTAGCTCCTGGCAGGGCCCCTCACTCAGCCGTGGCCTGGCTGCTCACCTCCAGGCAGCCCACTCCATGAGGAGCCATTCTTACTGTTGGAGCTCTCATATTGGGCCAATCTCTGTCCCTATGGAACTTTCGCTCACTAGTCCCTGTTCCAGGCTCTGGGTCAACACAACCCCTCTGCTCCCTCCCATGAGAAAGGACCTCAGACTTCTGCCTCTCACGTCTCTTCTGAAGCCTCAGCTTCCTAATCAAAGCTCTGCTCTCCAGACAGCATCTCAACCAGTTTCACAGTCTCAGAGGGAGGCTCCAGATCCTTAAGCCAGGAGATCCAGCGTGTTCTACATGGCAGGGCACACCTGGGGCTTTCCCTTCCCATTCATCGGGAATCCTGAGGCATCAACTGCTAGGAAGAAGGACCAGGCCTGTCCAACAGCTGCTCGTGGTACCAACAGTACCTCACAGGCTGTGATGCCAACAAGCAGGCAATGTCCACAGCGAGGAAGCTGGAAGGAAACGAAGACAGTCAAGAGTTGCTGTACCTGATGGGGTTTCACTGCCCGAGCCAACTGCGGGGCCAGGAAGACATTCTCCTCCTCCGGAGGGTGGTTCAGGTTGACGAGGACACGCCCCAGAGCATCGCGCTGGTTTAAGACGTCATTCACGTGGGTGCCACCCTTCTCCTCTTCCTCATCTTCCTCGCTGACAGACTCGCTGCTGTCCACAATGTGCAGAGTGTCCTCCTCGCCAGAGCTCAGTTCAATCACCTCTGAGACAGCCGACAAGACAAAATAAAGACAAACCCAGGGAGCAGAGTGACTTGCTGCCACTGTTAGAGCGACAGCATGGAAAGAAGGCAGAACTTGCTATCACCTATGACGACTTCTCTCTCCAGCTTCAAGTTAAGGCAAGGGAATACTTTACATTTACCAGGACGACTCAGGGAATCTGTCCGAGGCAGACCTCAATGTGAATGAGGAAGGACTGAACTCTTCTATGAAAGTTCTGGCTTGATCTTACCATCTCGGCTGCTTTTTTCATCCTCGCTGCCACTGCTACTGTCCAAACAAATGACTTCCTGGGCCAAGACCCGAGGAGGCAGTTGGGGACCTTCACTTGCTCTTAAGACAATTTCCTCTAAGAAAAGAAAGATGGAAGGGAACGTCAACCCACATGTGGCACAAGCGTTCTTTTCTTTTGTTGCTCTCACCAGGACTACCCCCAGGAGAGAAGCAGAAGGCATCTCGAAAACCTCAGCCCTCTTTCCAAATCCCCTTTTCTCTGCTGGTTCTTACTTGCTGATTCCACCCGAGCACTAAAACAAGTCCCAGTCCTTGGGCATGTTAACATCCAAAGTTAAAGGGGGAGGGGGCAGAAACCTGAGTAAGATCGGTTTGAGGAGCACACGTTCATCCATCTGAACTTTGTAAATGAGATCCCTCTGCTCTAGTGCTCCCAAGAAGCTGAATGATTCGAAAGGATTCCTGAGAGATCAGACCTTACTCCAAATCTGGCCTGGATCACCGTGGGCTCTCAGGCCTTTCCTGCACCTCACTGCTTACCGGGAAGAAACTCCAAGGGAACAGTGGGAATGGGAGCTGCGTAGTCCTTCCTCTGCTGCTCCAGGCGTTTCCTTCTTTCCAACTCTTCCTGTTGTGCTGCTTTGGTAACTGGCTCCAATTGATCCTCCCGGAGCAGCTTTCTAAGCATTACAATGAGAGGGCACCTGGGTTCACTTGCGATCTGAGCGATGCAATGTCAAGCTACAGGGGACTTAGCGTTGCTGAGCTCAGAGCGTGGAGTTGAGAAGAGAAACATCAGTCCCATCAAACCCACGCAATGAGCAAGGTGCAAAAAAAAGGGACTTCAAGGCTCAGGTGTCCCTGGCCTTATATTTTATATATATACATATTGGTCTCATATATTTTTTATATTATTTAACTTCCTGACAGATGCCCCTGCCGACTCATCTCTGCACATAACAGAACAAGAGTAAAATAGAGTAATATGTGATTCATAGAGCTGAAAAGCCGATAAAAATAGAGTTGGCATATGGAAAGTAGGATTATGGATGATTCTATAACCTTATTTCCCAAACTTAGAGTAATATTTTTGAGTTGTCATTATGTTAAAAAAGAGGGTAGGAGGAGAAAAAGAGCATTTATCTCTTTAGTAGACGGAGGGCTGTTGGGATCTGGGTAGTTAAGGAAGTGCACGCTTGCTGATTTCTTAGCTCAAGGAAGAAGCCCTGCTCGGGACCAGACGTCCCCTCCCACTGAAGCCGAGTTCTAAGAAGATGAGAACTCAACTTCATTTATCTCCTCTTGTTTTGAGACATAAGGAAAAAATAATGGAAGAACCAGGGTCCAAGCAGAGCACCCTATCGTGCCTGGGGCCTCCAGAGCGCGACACTGCCCGGCAGAGCTCGAGTGCCATCCGTCTGCCCGCATCTGGCCTGAGCGGCGGCACCTTCACTATTCATCTGGGCACACGGCTCACACGTTTGTCCTTTGGAAAGAGGACTCTCCCGCTCAGACCAGTCGTCCTACCACTGACAGCCTTCAAGTGAGGGTACCATCTCCCCCCACTCCCCCCCCTTGGCCCCCCGCCTTCTCCTCTTACCCCGAGCACAGCTCACCGTATGTTCCTCCTCATGTGGGAGGGCTTCTGAGCTCTCTTCTTTTTGGGGTCGTCAGAGGCCAGGCTCTTGCCTTGGTGGCGCCTAAGCTGCTCTGAAGGCTCAGACTGAGATGAGGTAGTTGAAGTGCACCGCGGTGGCCGCTGCCCATCTTCCCCCAGCTGGGCACACTCAGTGCCGTACATGTCCTCCAGGGATGGGTCTGAAAAGATAAGGGGAAAGAGGTGCCAGGGACCAACTTTTACTGGGGAAAACGAGTTCTGATGCCTGACACACCTGGGCTCAAACTTCAACTCAGCAACTTATTAGCTGGTGATCTTGGGCAAGTTACTTACATCTCTCGGACCTCAACGGACTTGTCTACCCAACGAGGACAATGATGCCCACACTTCAGAGCTACGGTGAGGACTAACCAGTGCCCATGCCTAGCACCAAGCCTGGCCCAGGGCAGTCTCACAAAAAAATGACAGCCATCATTCTTGCTATAATTTTGCGCTGTGGTCTGTGTAAGGAAGCTTCGTGGCCTCAGACCGCTCAGAAAGGAACAGCTGGGTTCCAAACACAGCTCACACTCCCCTGTGTGACTCTAAGCAAGTCTCATCTGCCAACAGGGAGAACAAGTGTCTTCAAGTGCTCACTCGTTCAATTCACCACCTACTTATGAGGGCGTTCAACATGCAGGCACTGTCCTAGGTGTTTTAAGGCTATGATAACACTCCTTTCCTTCAAAAAGTTTGTTTTCTAGAAAATCTGATTTAAAAATGGGCAGAGGACCTGAATAGACACTTCTCCCTCCATAGGAGATACAGATTGCCAGTAGACATATGAAAAGATGCTCAACAGCACTAATTATCAGAGATGCAAATTAAAAACTATAATGAGATATCCCTCATACCCCTCAGAGTGCTTATCATCAATAAATCAACACACAAGTGCAGGCGAGGATGTGGAGAAAAGGGAGGCCTCATGAACTGTTGGTGGAAATGCAGATTAGTGCAGCCACTGTGAAAAACAGTATGGCGTTAACTCAAATAATTAAAAATTATTTCCAATCCCATTTCTGGGTATTTATCCAAACAAATCCAAAACACGAATTCAAAAAGATATCTGCACCCCTATATTCACTGCAGCATTATTTGCAATAACCAAGTGTCCGCTAATGGACAATTGGATAAAGATGTGGTACACATATACAGTGGAATATTACTCAGCTATAAAAAAGAATGACCAGCCCTGGCTGGTTGCTCAGTGGTTAGAGCATTAGCCCACAGACCAAGGGGATTGTTGGTTCGATTCCTGATCAAGGGCACGTACAGGTCAAGGACACGTAACTCTGTTGTGGGCTCAATCCCCAGCCATAGTTGGGTGCATGCGGGAGGCAACCAGCCAATGTGTCTCTCATATTTATGTTTCTCGCTCTCTCTCCCTCTCTCTCCTCCTCCTCCTCTCTCACTTCCACTCTCTCTAAAAATCAATCCTCAGGTAAGGATTAAAAAAAAAAAAGAAAGAAAGAAAGAAAAAAGAATGACCATTTGCCACAACATGGATGGATAGAGAGGATATTATGCTAAGTAAAATAAGTCTGACAGAGAAAAACAAATACATATGATTTCACTTATATATGGAATCTGAAAAACAAAATAAGTGAACAAACAAAACAGAAACAAACTAATAGATACAGAGAACAAACTGACAGTTGCCAGATGGGAAGAGGTTTAGGGGGCTGGGTGAAAAGGTAGAGGGATGAAGTACAAATTGGCAGTTACAAAACAGTCATGGGGATGTACAGCAGAGCTTAGGGGATACAGTCAATAATATCGTAATAACTATGTATGGTGTCAGTATTAGTCTTACTGGGGGAATTCCTTCCTATGTATATAAGCATCTGTCCAGCCACTATGCTGTACACCTGAAACTAATGTAATGTTGAATGTCAAATGTAATTTTAAAAGTTTTTCAAAATATGTTAAAATAAAAAAGCGAATTATTTAAAAAGAGAATGACATGTACAAACTGCATTTTGTTATTCCAAACACACACCAACACCCCCATGAGACTGCAGACCACCTCTGTATTCTAAACTTGTCATAAAGACTGCCACCAAACGGCCACCGTGGCCTCTCTGTACCTGCTTAGAGTTCAGCCTTACACACACTTGAGCATCTGCCATGTACAGGCCCTGTGCCAGGGCACAATGGAATGGCTCACCCAGGAAAGCACACACGATGAGGTGAGTGCCGAGAGCCACACTTGGGGAAAGGACCCCTACCCAGGCTTGCTTAGGTCTGGGAGTGAGGATGCTTCCTTGGGAGAGGTGAGGCCTGGGCTTCATGTCATAGGGTCGGTAGGCACGAGCTGGTAAGGGAGGAAGGAAAGAACATTCTGAGCAGATACCGGAGCATAAGCAAAAGGAATAGACTTTAAACAAGGAGGAGAGATTAAGAAAACGCAGGCAGTCCAATATGGGCTCATTAAAAACGAGTGAGCAAAGCAGCAGGAGGACCTTCCAACCCAGCCACTTTCCTCTCTCTTCCCAGCATCCCCTCTCCCAAGGCTGACTTAGGTGTAGAGCCAAGATCCTTCCTGGAGTCAGCACAGAAGTCAGCCCCTGTCACAGGGAGGACCACCCAAGGCCTCTTCTTCCTACCACTAGGATATTTCACTTCCTACTAGTATATTTCACTGCCTGGTGTTTGGGTGGGGAAGGGATGCTAACGTGGCCACTGCAAGAGTGGAGGGTGGCAGGGGATAGGTGGGGTGGAGCTGTGTGCGTGCATGCTCACACGCTAACAAGCGCACAGCCTGGGTGATTCACTCCTGTGCAGCAGCCCTGGATGCATCTTCCTTGGCCTTCACACTGAGAGGCCCCTGGAGGTTTCAGGTAGACAACCTGTGCTTTTGAAGAGCAAAGGGGAAATGGCGGAGGGAGGCACCAGACATGGACTGTGCATGATGGGCCACCACAATGCCGTTAACAGCGCAGTCCCCTCTCTATTACGACCGAGTCTGCAGCCGGCCTTTCACAAAAGGCCTCCCAGAGATGGCAGAGTCTGGGTGGCAAGAAGCGCCAGGAATGCAACGCAGGCCTAGGCTCAGGGGCAAGGTGCTGAGGAAGCAAGGTGCCCTGCTCCTGCGCCCAGTCAGCCAGCCGAACAGAAAGAGAAGCTCCAAAGTGTGGCTGCCAATCAGACTAACTGCCACCAAATTCACGACCCTCCTACACAGTCCTCTCCTGTTTCCACCGGAAGCACCACGGTAGGAAAGCTCAGCAAACTGTTTTCCTTAAGAACTATCCTTCCTTCAGGCCCCTCATGCCTCCAGAGAGCTAATACCCCCATGGTATTGTCACATGACAGTATTGTCACCTTCCTCCTCACAGCCCTGCTTTCTTCCCTCCTAAAAAGCAAGGCCATCAAATCCCTCCTACCTAAGAACCAGGTGTGTGGACAGCAGACTCCCTAAGAGGGACAGCTACTGCTAAACGGCCACTTTCACCAACACTGCACCTTGGCCTACACACCAATTACACTTGGGGCTGGGTTGGCACACTTCAACTTGGTGTTTTGCTGGGTCCTCTGAACTGGTTTGGACAATGACCTTTGATGTCCTCCTGGCCTTAAGGCTTTTTGTTTTGTTTCTATTTCACAAGCAAATTTATTAAGTAACCACTCGGAGGAATAGTTGGAGGCTAGGTGGTTAGGGAGAAGGCAGATAAGACAGAGTCCAAGTACAGAGGGCAGGCCTTGAATAAGGCCAAGGGTCTGAACTTGATCTGCAGGGCAGTGGGAACTTGTTGCCAACTGTTGTATTTCTTCCTTCTGGTTTTAGCCTTGCAGAGTGAACTGTTCCTGGGAGGAGGAAGAACAGAACCTGACAGTCTTTCAATATCACAGACAAATTCACTATCAAACATTACAACTTGTGAGGCCTGGCTGTGAATTCCTGTCTGGCAGGGGGTGGATGTGGACATGTGCAGTAGGAATTTTAAAATGATTAGACACAGCATATAAAATCCTCATGCACGCTTGGTACAGACTCAGATTTCTCCTTTTCTTTATAAAGGGGAGACAGGTATAAACCAGCTCTTACCACCCAGCATTCTTTGAACAAACCCTCAGCCTCTGGGTTCAACAACCACTGCTGGCTTATTAGAGAGCTTCAGTTTATGGATGTGCTGATAGTTAGTTTGTCACATAAGTCAGTGTTTTACAGTGCTTCATGGCTGCCTCATGCTTATTATGAAATGTCTGGTTTCTACATAACATTACACCACATCTTAAACGTTCTTGCCCTGGCCCGGTGGATCCGTTGGTGGAGTGTCATCCTGTATACCAAAAGGCTGTGAGTTCGATCCTCAACTTGGGGCGCATGCAGGAAGAACAGATTGATGTTTCTCCTCATTCCCTTTCTCTCTCTCTAAAATCAATGAAAACATATCCTCAGGTGAAGATTAAAAAAACAACAACAAAGATCAGCGAATTCCATGTCTTACCATGTGCCTCTTGGCATGATACAGGAGGATGCACACGCCACAACCTAGGACTTATGTGCTAAAAAACTGAGCCTGAATCTGAACTACCTTGTTATCTTGCTCCCAGTTTGCAAAACTACAGGGGACTAAGGACAATGTTAAACTTGGCAAACGATACCACAGGGGTGCATGCGTGCTATTTTACAGATGAGGAAACTTGTCTCAAAGCTGTAAGTAGTAAAGACTAGATTCAAACAGTGTCAACCAGGTGGTTGATCTGGCTCCAGTTCATGCTCTTAGCCACCACATTGCACAGTCGCTCCTCTACCCCATTTCCCAGAAGGTCATGTGGAAAAAAAATAGAGTTCAGAGACAGAGCTACATATGTTCTCTGTCTTGGTTTACAACAAAGGTATAGCAAAAATGCAATAAGAGTGCTGGAGCCATTAGAAAATCATATTGGGGGAAGAGGGCTTGAACTTGACCCCTACCTCACACCACACAAAAATCAACTCCAGATGGATCATAGAACTAAGTGCAGATAAAATATTAAAGCTTCTAGAAGATAATAGGAGAATAGCTTTATGACCTTGGGGAGACAAAAATTTCTTAAATAAGGCATAAAAAGCACTAAATATAAAGGGAGAAATGATAAATTTGATTTCATTAAAATCTATTCATTGAAAATACAATTTAAAAAAGAGCATAAAACTGCAAAAAAAATAAAAACACAAACCCCAAAATTAAGAGGGTGAAAATCAATATAGAAGGGAAAGATGTGTGTGTGTGTGTGTGTATTTAACTAAAGACTCATATTCAGATATAATGATAAAAATCAATAAGAGATGGATGGAAAAAAGAAAAGAGGTTAAAAAAATATGTTCAGCCCTAGCTGGTTTGGCTCAATGGATAGAGCGTCGGTCTGCGGACTGAAGGGTCCCAAGTTCGATTCCAGTCAAGGGCACATGCCCAGCTTGCAGGCTCAGATCCCAGGAGGCAGCCGATTAATGATTCTCTCTCATCATGGATGTTTCTATCTCCCTCTCCCTTTCTTTCTGAAATCAATCAATAAAAAAATTTTCTGAAAAAAAAAAGGGGGTTAAGGCACTTTACAAAAGTGCAAATGGTCATACAAGCATATGGAAAAAGGCTCAACACATTACATAATCAGGGAAATACAAATTAAACCCACAGCCAGAAGCTCCCACTCCACGGATTACTGGGAAGAAGTGTTAAGGTCCTACAAAGTCACTCTGAATAACTGAGTCAACACATGACATGCTTTTCTGAGGCAGATTTACAAAACAATCTTCTGTCCCCAGCCGATTTCTGTCCTTCGTGTCTCTAAGCCTGGCACACAGAAAGGAGGAAAGAAACTGGTATCAAAATTGGCACCACTTAATTTCCAACAAGAGATCACCCTAAACTCTGACTCAGGCTGTTCTGAAAAATCAGTCCAGTACTCACAGTGAGTGTGAAATAGCACCTGTTAGAACCCAAGTAAGTAAACCCCGGGTTCCAGGTATATCTCACACCACCACCATGTAGGCCCTGCCTACCTCCGCCCCTCGCTCTCTGTGCTCCAGCTGTCACGGCTTCTACCTTTCTGATTCTTAAACAAGCAGATTCGTTTCCACCCCAGGGCCTTTGCCCTGGCCCTCTGCCTAGAACATTTTACTCCTGATTTCTTTACACTGCAAGCAAAGAGGACAAGTAGAATGGGGTCAGAGAAAAAGCAAACTTCCTGTAGGAGAGTCGGAGACCCAGGGGCTGAGAAAGAGACCAGCTTTCCTTATCCAGTGGTCCAAGGTGGACGGGGTCAACCTGAAGCCTAAGTTGACATCAAGGAGTCTTGCTGTCAACAAGATGGCTGTGAAACAGGTTACAGAAGGGCCTAAGCATGCTGTTAGTTATCTACCTGCAGTTCCAGGTTCCTACTATCCTGATACGCCATATAAAATAGACAAGAGTAAAGTGAAATAACGAAGGCCTATATGTTCTAAAACGATGTGCCCATCAAGCCAGCCTGTGTCCAGACCTCGATTAGCTAATGTAAACCAGGGCTTCTCGGACTTCTGCACTGAGGGGTCCTACACATCCAGCAAGAGATTAAACCTGAAGCTGAGCTGGCAGAAAATACTGAGCCAGAAAAACCACTGCATAAGGAAAGTTCATTCCAGAGGCACCAGGTTTTGAACCTCTGCCTCTAATGACAGACCTCAAAGATGCTGACACCCAACTGTGCCCATTTCAAAAGAATAGAGAAAGCCCAGTATAGACATCAAGATAAAAAAGCCAACACCAAACCAAAACAAAAAACCCAGGGGAATGAAAAACCAAAGCCAAAAGTTCTCACACCATGCCATGGGGCCTAACACGTTATAAAAAGAGAGCACAACTTCATCCCACTCTTCTTAAAGGCAATGCCCTGGTGCTGTTCCCTAGTAGCCAAAGCCTTCCTGCTCTGGTATAGCCAGCTCTCAGACTAACGTCCTACCAGACAACATTCAAAGGGCAAGGGGGAGACGACACCCAGTTTAACGTAGCAAAGCTAAAACTATCCTGAACTCCCCATCCACTCCCTCCTATTCCTCCCACCTTGACAAAGGTTTCATCCTCCTCCCAGGCTTTACCTATTCCGTCTTCAACCTGCCCCCACATCTAATATGTCACCAAGTCTATAAAGATAATCAAGTAGGAGAAAGTGTGACAAAGTGCTTGTGAAAGGACAGAGCTAGCACTTAGAGGGAAATTTATAGTTTTAAACGAATTTGTGCACCAGTGGGGTCCCTGGGCCTGGCCTGTGGATCAGGCCAAAACCAGCTCTCCAACATCCCCCAAGGGATCCTGGATTGCGAGAGGGCACAGGCCAGGCCAAAGGACCCCACTAGTACACAATCGGGGCCAGGGAGGGACACGGGAGGTTGGCCAGTCAGGGAGGGACCACAGGCAGACCCCAGCAGCAAGCTAACCTACCAGGTGGAGCGTCTGCCTCCTGGTGGTCAGTGCACACCACAGCGAGCAGTTGAGCAGCCTTAGCATATATCATTAGCATATTACGCTTTGATTGGTTGAATGGACGACCTGACACTTAGCATATTAGGCTTTTATTATATAGGATGCTTATATTAGGGGTGGGTGGAGCCTAAAATGAGCTAAGCATTTTCTTACGAAGTTTGAAAGTAATGCAAAATAAACCCAAAAGAAGTAGAAAGAGGAATACTGTAAAGTAGACATTACAAAGAAAACACACACAATAGAGGGGTCACCAAAGCCAAAGGACAATTGTTTGAGAAAATTAGTAAGATGTTCAGATATTTCTGTACACTATGAGGGAGCAATATAAAAGGGAGCTGTTGTTATCCAATAGAGGAAAATTCAAATAAAAAGTGCTAAATTAATAGTTTCCTTTTTGAAAGGGTTTCTCAAGCTCGGCGCTATTGACATTTTGGGCTGGATAACTGCATATAGGAAGGGTTTTCCTATGTAACGTAGGATGTTTAGCAGCATCCCTTCTCTCTCCCCAAAGGAGCATCAACCCTCACTGCTCATGTCCACACAGGCAGAACTATGAGTATAATTTCAGGAAACTCTCAGACCACTCACTGTGACCCCCATGCCTACCTGTGGCCACCTCATGGGTCCATGACACCAGACTACAAAGTGTGGTCACAGGGACTCTGCCACTGACTCCTCCATGACTTGGGCAAGCATGCTCCACTCCCAAATCCTCAGACCTGAGTCTGCATGCCTGTCCAAGGCGAGCTGAATTAACGCTAACGGTCCTTCCAGCACTAAAGCGAGGCTTATGTAGAACAGCCCACTTCCTGGGAAGAAGCATGTGAGTTCATGGTTGTTGTGTTTCCAGTCTCTGTCTTTTCATGATGGATGACCTAAGAAACCCAACTAGAAACACCACGCTCAGCCAGCAAAGATTCCATTAGAAGAAAAGATAAGGCCACCTCCGGCACTCACTAGAGCCACTCACCATCCAGCAGGTCCTCCTCATCATCCCTGCTGTGCTCCTCCACTGCCACCTCCTCCTCCTCCTCCTCCTCTTCCGCATCCTCCAGCTCCACGTCCGGGTCCAGGTCTGGATCGCTCCCTGAGGTGGATTCGTCTGACATGGCTCCCAGAGGTCCTCAGTGGGCATTACCGACTCATGGTGCACTGCAGGGGTCCTGGGAAGAGGACAAGAGGCAGTAGCATCACCACGGGCTTCACTTAGAGCATGATTCCTTCAAAGAGAAAATGCCATGAATTCCCTGGAGCTTTTCTAAGCAGGGCAAGGTAACATACCCAAACTCAACTTTGCCCACAAGTGCACTGGCCCTGCACTATGTGTTGGTGACTCTCTGCCCACCTCAGAATTCCCATTTGTTCATTTCTTCATGCATAAACTGCTCCCTAAGCACCAACTCTATATCTATACATACATATACACACATATGGCTATATAATCACAGGCACTATGCTAGGCTTTGGGGACACAGCACAAAGCATGCTGGAGAGGACTGCAGGAGGGTGTGTGCCAGAAGGAGCTGCTACTTTAGGGGGAGGGGGCAGGGAAGTTTCTATTGAACAGAGGCCAGAAGGAAGAGGGAGCCACTCAGGCATCTAGAGGGAGAGTATTCTAGGCAAAGTGTGCCGCAAGGGCAGAGCCCTGGAGTGGGAATAACTGGGAGTGGGTCCTGCCTACAACAGGCCAGGGACCTGCCTTGGAGCATGAAGAAGGCAGTCCACTCTCCAATCACCCGAACGAAGGGCTTGCAGTGGGCAGCTGGCTATCCACCACAGTCACCCCTCCGGAACACGTGGCAGCCTCAGGCTGCCCATGGCGCGGAATGCCCCTGTGCCCATCTAAGCTCTCAGGCTCTGTTCTACCTCTTGGCCCCATCCCAGCTTCATTTCTTCCAAAACGCCTTTGTCAACTGTCCCAAACTTCTGGGATCATCTTCCCTCTTCTGAACTCCATTAGCCATACTGACCAGGCAGACCTTCACTGAAGGCTTCATACAGGCTACCTGCAAAGTAGTTTCTTACCTCCTGGCCCAACAGTAACCTTGGCAGGGACTTAGCTGGCAACTGTTTCTTTATGTCCTGGAGCTGGAAGCATGTGCTATTCAGATCACTCACTCATTCATTCATTCATTCATTCACATTCACTCGCTCATTTGCCAACCTGCTCTACTGATTCTCTCCCCACTTTACTATTAGCTGTAAAACGGGGGCGGGGGGGGGGGGGAGGAATAAAAAACAACATTAAAAGAAAGCTTTACCTTGCTTTGTGATAAAGCAAATATGTTAACATAAAGATTCACTGAGTTCTTTCAAGTTTTCCGCATATTTCCAATTTTTAATAATAAAATGTGGGGGAGGAACACAGAGAAATAATTTTTTACAATATAAACAATATAAATGTGCTGCAGACAACCACATCAACAATCAGGTTATCCTAAAATTCCTCCATCTCCCAAAATAAAAACTGAAACACAAGTCTCCAATTATTCAACACAAAATACTATTTCAAAGCTGATATCTCGTGTTAAGGTGCAGACACAACTTGAAACAGAACTTCTATGTTCTCCTGAACAGAAAGAGAAACAAAATGAAGCAGGCTGGACCCTTTAGAGTTTTGGGAAACTAGAACTTAAGTTTAAGACTGCTCAGTTTAAAGCCCCAGGAATTATGAATGTGTATGTCCCGATGGGTGAGATACTTAGCCGCTCAAAACAATCAAAGCAAAGAACAGCTGTGAAATGATTTAGTAACAAAATTTAAATGTTAGCATTAATAACACACTTCCAAAAACACCTACAAAGGGCACTAAGCTACAGGGAAAAGAAGTGATCCACAAGTACAAATCAATATAACTAACGCTGAGCTACCATCCACTAAGTGACAAAGCAGATTGCAAATCTCTGAAGGAATGACTGCTTATGTCTAAATTCATTAGGTCTTAGAGAGGAAGTAGTACATCAGCTGCTTTGAAAATGAAATTTATTTCTGAACATTAGTATGATGATAACTCATCAGTAACCACACTGTGTTTGGTCAGTGTTTGTAATCAGCATAACCCCTGTTCATCCTAGATGCTTTGGGGTAAGTGTTCTGCTTACAGTGTGCTTGGCTGATTATGGAGTGGCTTTTAGAGAACAGATTTTAATTAGCAAGTACGTTTAGATAATCTGAATGCCTGTCATTTTAGAGAAGAAAAGGTGTGGTGGTGGAGAATGTCACTACAGAGAGAAAAAAGGAAATCTTAATGTTTGCAATAGCATGGATGGACCTGGAGATTTAATGCTAACTGAAAGAAGCCAGTTAGAGAAAGACAAGTACCACATAATGTCACTTATATGTGGAATCTAATGAACAAAATAAACTAACAAAATAGAGACTAAGAGATACAGAGAATAGACTGACAGCTGTCAGAGGGAAGGGGGGTGGGTGGCTGGGTGAAAAAGCAAAAAAAAACCCAACAACTCATAGACACAGACACAGAGGGAAAGAGGGCTGGGGGCAGTAGAAGAGAGTGAAGGAGTAAAGGGAAGATAAATGGTGATGGAAGGAGACTTGACGTGGGGTGGTGAACACACAATTCAGTATACAGATGATGTATTATGGAATTGTACACTTGAAACCTATTTAAAATTTTATTAATCAATGTCATCCCAATAAATTCAATAATAATGAAAAAAGCTATAAGTACAAACTTACTGAAACTGGGGCAAAGTCTTACACTAAGTCTGTATGCCCCACACGGCAGTATGTGTAAAAGGTGTTCAATAAACATACTGGATGATGGGAAGAAAAAAAGGAGACAAGAAATGAGCTCTTGGTAGAACTCGTTCCATGTGAACCCTGCTGCACCCCAGTGAGGAGGGGCTCTGCCTCCAGCTCAGGGAACCAGGAGAGTGATGATGGCAGTGCTGCGCCTTAATGAGGACCTTTATTCCTACAAAACAAATTCTAGGAATCAAATTCTATCTTAATGGAACTGGAGAACTAGCTATTTAAAGGAACTCTAAAGAGAACCACTTTAAAAAGCAAACATTTAATCCCCAAGTAATATGTTAATATCTACAGCTTAATATAGTGGGTCTCTAAAAGGAGACTATAATTATGAAGAACTCACAGCCAATCCCAGTCCAGCCCCTCACAGCAATCTTGAGAGTGAAGGAAACGGCTCTTCTGCCCTAGATAAGTTCAAAGACAAGGACAACTGTCTACAGAGTGGTGCCTGTCCAGGAATCAGGGAGTTAATCATGAGGGCATAGTCCTTAGACATACCCTAGGGGGGTGGGTTACACAGGAGAAACACACACACACACACACACACACACACACACACACAGCCTGTGCTCACAAAGCAGACCATGCTTGGAGAGTCCCCGCTGAAATCATAAAACTGCAGGCGCACCGGCCTCTCCGCAGCAGGGCACCCCTTGCAATTTCAGAGATGTCTTCGTGGTCCTTGGCAGCATCCCGATCCTGCCTTTGATATAAAACAATCCATTCCAAACTGCCATGTCCTCATTGATTTTTGTGACCTTCAGTAGTATATTCAGTTTCTTCAAACCATCTCAAAGCAATTCCCACGGCAAGTGCCACTCACACTTTTTTTTCCATTAAGAATATAAAGAGCCCAGCTGGTGTGGCTCAGTGGTTGAGTGTCAACCTAGAAACCAGGAGGGCAAAGTTCAATTTCCAGTCAGGGCACATGCCCGGGTTGCAGGCTCAATCCCCAGTAGGGTCGTGCAGGAGGCAGCCCATCAACAATTCTCTCTCATCATTGATGTTTCTATCTCCCTTCCTCTCTGAAATTAATAATACACACACACACACACACACACACACACGCATATATATATATATATACACACAAAACGATGCATTTATGCTAATTTACAAGGGGGAAAAGTCTTTTAAGAGCATGAAAACATTCAGTCCAAAACTTTAGGCAACACCCCTCTAAAAAAATCCTTTCGTCAAAGACGGGGGCAGGGGGGATTTCAGTCCATATATAGTACTCTCTGGGTACCCACAAGATCCTTCCAGTCCGTGAGATATCCACTGGGGTGGATCTCTCCTGTGCAAGACAAAGCCCTGATGTGTAGCCCAAATGCCTTTTGATTATCAGTTACTTAAAAACACATTTTATACACACAAAGCAGCCACAGAACTCAACTCCCACAGCTCAAAATATTTGACTTGGAAATCTAATGAGACTTTTGGCAATTTGGAACTTAAGTCAAAATAAGGAGGGAAAGGTAAACAAACACATTCAGGACTCTAAGGAGCCGGGCCACAGGAGACAACGCTCTCCAATCTCCAGGTACCACAAAGAAAGAAAAAGTGGCATTTTAAAATGGAACAGAGAACCACGTTACATGAACTTAAAAAAATATTAGAACAGTCCATGCCATACTCCAGTAAAAAACTACAAGATCAATTTGATATAAAAACAGTAGACACATGTTATTTTACAAATGTAATTAACCATCAAGGGCGAACTTTCTCGATGACTTAATACTACATTTGCAAAGTCAAATTTTTACTTTTACCCCTGGGTCTCTGCTAGCCACACCGGCTTTAAAATGGCCATGGGCTGAGGTTCCTTTCGTCCCCCCCTCAAAGATCCCTGGCTCGGGTCACTGGCCAGACATCCCGCAGGGTCAGTCCCAGAGGGTTGAGTACGTAGGAGTAAAGCTCTAGAAGGCCACTGCGAAGGGGAGCAAATGAAAGACTCACTTCATTCTCCATGGAATAAGCTGGAAAAAGGAGGGGGGCGGTGTATGGGGAGAGGAACCGGGAGGAGAGAATGGACCATTAAGTTGGGAAGATGTGAGCTAAAGCAGGGATGGCAGCTTTGGCTATGAGAAGCCTATGACATAGCCACTACTCCCTAGAGAAATCAGGGCTCTGAAAAATTCTCTCTCTCTACACACACACACACACACACACACACACACACACACACACACTTGTTTGTTAAAACATCAGCTCAGTGTAATCTGAGTGAGGGCGGTAAAAAAAGAAAGTTAAGGTTCCCAGATCTCTGAATACAGGGACTGAAACAAGAGTAAAAGCAATTGGGCGAGTATGTTACCTTCCAGCTTGGGAGCCTGTGTCTCTTTCCACAGAGCTCCCGCTTCATACAGAGATAAGGACCCACGCGGCA